CATTGGTGGGGGCAGCCCGGCTGGTGCAGGAATAGAGCACTCCCCTTGAGGAAGCCTCCCCAGTCAGCCTGGCAGAACCACTCCCCTTCATTCCCCTTAATTCAAGTAGCTCCAGGCATCTCCCCACAGGAAGGAACTCAGGGCCAGAAGAAAAGGATTGGATACTTTCTCATGAAGAAAAAGAAGAGGGGGTGTTGAGTGGAGTGGAGGACAGGGACCCTGCTAGTCTGCCTTCTGCCTTTCTAGTGCTGCCCAGAGTCAGTCTACACATGACATACTGAAGACGACATGAGGTCTGTGAGGAAATCCTAAGTAGATAGGTCCAGTATTGACCCATTGAGACTGTACAGAGAGAGTTCCATGCTGTGTATCCAGCATGCTCCAGGACTGCTTGGTTTTTTCAGCCCCTCCTGCTAACACACACCACCCTCTTATAATGATGGTATTCTCTTAAACCCATTCTACAGCAAAAGAAGCTGAAGTACAGAGAAACTGGGTATGGTGACCAACCATAGTATTCTCAGGAAAGCAGACTTTCAGTGGTAAAACTATAAAAGTCATAAGCAAACTGGGACAGGATGGTTAACTTAGCCCCTAGTCTTCCTTCCATGCTCCTTAGCTTCTTCTTTTATTTTTATTTTTTATTTACTTTTATTTTTTATTTCATTTCTTTGACATACTCTTGTACCCCAGGCTGGCCTCAAATTCATTGTATAACTGTGTGTGACCTTGAACCCCTGATCCTCCAGCCTCCTGTGTGCTGGACTCACAGGAGTGCACCACCAGGCACAGTCATATTCTTTTTCTTTTAAAAATAATTTTAAGGATTTATTTACGCTATAGTCCTGAGTGTTTTGTCTTCGTGTATATGTGTGCACCATAGGAATGCCTGTGGAGATCAGAAGAGCATTGGATTACATGGAAATGGAGTTACAGACATTTGTAAGCTACCATGCAGGTACTGAGAACTGAACTCAGGTCGTCTGAAAGAACAGCAAGTGCTCTTAACAGCTAAATCATCTCTTCAGAACCTCTCCTCTTCTTCCTTCCCCTCCTCCTCTTCTTCCTCTTCTCTTCTTCCTCCCATTCTCCTCCTTCCCCTCTTCCTCTCTTCCTCCTCCTTTTCTTCCCTCCTCTTCCTCCTCTTCCTCTTCCTTTTACTTCATATAGAAAAAAAAAAAAGACAAAAAGACAGGTCTCACTGTATAGCCCTGGCTAGCTGCTAACTCACTTTGTAGGTAGATCAAACTGGCTTTGAACTCACAAAGATCCACCTCCTCTGACTGGTGCTGGGATGAGAAATTTGTACCACCATGCCTGGTCCAGTCACATGAATAACTACTGAAATAAATACAGTAATACAGTGCCTTGGAATGTCCTCTCTTCAAATATTACACACACACACACACACACACACACACACACGGTTTTCTGGAGTCTTCTTCCACATGTACACATACCACCATCTCTCTGCAACTCCTCAAAAGAAGCATACTCCTCCCTCACACCCCTCCCTCACACAGCTCTGCTCTCTTTCGCTTGCAGTTGCTGGGTCAGCACAGCCCATTCTGCCCACACATCATTCAGTCAGATGCACATGTATGTGCTGGGAGAGATCAGAATCAGGTACTCATCAAAAAGGGAGCAGGCCTGTTGCTGGGGTGTTGTGCCTGGATGTCCCTTTCCTTTCTTTCTAAGAAAGCATCTCCTGTTAGCATTAGCAGTGTGTCCTGCTTTAAAGCAACATGCAAAGCCCGTCCAGGTAGTGCACATCTGTGAGCACAGCACTTGGGAATAGAGATCTCAGTACAATTACAAGTGTGGAGCCGGCTCGGCTACACAGGTTCAAGTGAGTCAGGGACACAGAAAGGCCTTGCTTCTCTTCTGTGTGCTGACATGTATGCAAGTATACAACATACATAATGTGTATGCGCATTATGCATGTGAATGTGGAGGCCAAAGGTCAACAATGGTATTGTTCCTTGTTGTGGTTTTTTTGGTTTGGTTTGGTTTTTGTGGGGTTTTTAGATGGTTGTTGTTGCTGTTTTGGTTTGGTGTGGTTTTTAGATGGTTGTTGTTGTTGCTGTTTTGGTTTGGTTCGGTTTTGATACAGGATCTCTCACTGATGTGAGGCTCATTGTTCAGGCCAGTGAATCCCATGGACTCACCTGTCTTTGTCTCACAAGCACTAATACTACAAGCACAAACCACCATGCTTAACCTTTCAGAGTGGGTTCTCGGGTCAGATTCAGGTTCCTGTGCTTCCAAAGCCAGTGTCTCACTGATTGAGCTATCTCCTCAGCCTCCGTTTCCCTTTCCATTCTATTTATTCATTTTAAAAGATTTTATTTGTTTTTATTTATGTGTATGAGTGTCTGCCTGAATATATGTCAGTATACCATAGGCCTGCAGTGCCCAAAAAGGCCAAAAGAAGGTGTTAGAGATCCTGAAACTGGAGTTACAGACCATTGTGAGCCACTACGTAGAAACTGGGAACCAATCTCAGGTTTCCTGGAAGGACAGCCAGTGCTCTTAACCACAGAGCCATGTCTCCAGCCCCTCTCCATTCAATAATGATAATAATAATAATTAATAATAATAAACCACAATGCACACACATGCCTTTTCCATTACTGGCCTCAGCCTAGTCATTAGCATATGGAAACCTGATTGCAGATCAACTAGGTTGGCAGGAGGAAGCCAGATGCTCATCCAAGCCAAAGCACACAGTTAGGATGTCCCCACATGCAATCACCCTTATCTCAGGCAGGGTTACCGTTGCTTAGATGAGATATCATGACCAGAAGCAAGTTGGAGAGGAAAGGGTTTATTTGGCTTAGATTTCCACATTGTAGTCCATCATTGAAAGAAACCAGGAGAGGAACTCAAACAGGGCAGAAACCTGGAGGCAGGAGCTGATGCAGAGGGCATGGAAGGATGCTGCTTACTGGCTTGCTCCTCCTGGCTTGTTCAGCTTGCTTTGATATAGAACCCAGAACCGCCAGCTACCATGGGCTGGGCCTTCCCACATATATGACTAATTAAGAAAATGCCTTACAGCCAGATCTTATGGAGGCATTTTCCCAACTGAAGTTTCCTCCTTTCAAGTTACTCTAGCTTGTGTCTAGTTGACGTAAAATTAGCCATCACACCCACCTTGTCTTGATACTTCCTTCCCATCTAGACGAGAGGAGAGAGTTGGAAGGTATTCTCTTTCTACAGGGCTAGAAAGCTTCTACCTCAGCTACAGGATCATCACCCCTTCCCAGTACCACTTGCCTGCCTCTGCATCTGGGAAATTCCTATTTGCTCTTCAATACGCAGCTCAAATATCTCATGGGAATGAGTCTATAACCATGATCCCAACACCAGTACAGGATCTGGCAAAGTGAGATAAGGCATACGCCATTGTGCCTATGGGCTAGCTCCGGAAGCCATAATCCTGCCAGGTCGTGCCATCCTTTTGGAGAGATGGATCATTTACTCAAGCTTACCAAAAGGAATGTATTCTCTCTCCTACTGCAGGATAAAGGGGCTGAGAGAAGCCAGATGGACCTGCATATACTGACCCACGATGCTGGCAGCCTGCCAGGTCTGTGATAGCCATTTTATCCACGTGGAGACTATCTGTGCTGAGAAAACATTAATGAAAAGGCTAGTTGTAGGAAAGGCTGCTTGTGGATGTGGTCTGGGCCCTCAGGTTACAGTTCCCAGGCCTTCCTGTTCCAGCTGCCTCCCACACCTGACTCTTGCAGGAAGGATGACGTTTCTGTCTCTCCAACAACCACCTTAGGTTGAACTCCAGGGTTCATCTCTGCTGGCAGAGATCGTGGGTCCACAGGATTCAGACTCGCTGACTCCTGGCCCTCCCAGATGTGTCCAGGAGCGGATGTTCAGGTCCTCATTTCCAGAGTTTCCACCAGGCACCTGGGAGGGAGCTGCTGCCTTAGGACAAGGACACAGAGTGCTTCGGGAGACTGGAGTCCCCCAGCCTTCCTGCGTCTGCTCCTCACTGAACCTTTGCAGAGGTGACAGTTCACCTTGGCGAGGCCTGTATGTGGCCAGCTGAGTTCTTCATCATTCCAGCCTCTCTCCAGCAAAGGCAGCCACCTGGAGCTTCCGCAGCCCCACCCTCATCTGCCTGGAGTCTGCCGATCCTGTCCAGACCTCCAGACAAGCTGGCAACTGCTTTTTCTCCTGATTTCCGGTTTGCACCACAACCCATCGTCCTCACTGGGCCCTCTTGGCTACTTGTTCTGAAGCAATTTTGCTCTGAAGCAACTTTCCAGGAGCTTCTACCCCATGTGAGAGGCCCATGTCTGCTCACCCACAGCTTGGCCAGACCCCACAGTAGGCTGGAGGGAGACACTCAGAAGTCTGTACTGTGGATGCAAAAACACAGCTCTCACCTCAAAGGGGGGAAACAGATTTTATTCTGTGTCAAATATGAGTGACTACAGTTTAGGAGCAGAGGTTCAGACTACCCCTAGTACCATCACAGTCCAATGTGGAGACAGTTTTGTGAAATTTTTATGATAACACAAAACTATAAAAACACATCGGTGGAAACAGCAGGAAGGCAGGTCACAAAGAAACAGCAAAATCTCTGCTGTGAACAGACGCCATCTGATGACATTCTTAGACTTTGGATTTGTGGAAGCTAAGGGTGTGCTTTGCATTCTAGAAAGGAGTTCACCGGATAGTCACAGGATGTCAGGTCATAAACAGAGTTGGCCAATATATGACTACTAAGGAGGTTAAAGATAGCCCAAGATAATTTGGCTCCAGATCTGCAACATTCTGACTCTCCACAACTATGGACATTCTACCAACCTTATAGATTCTTTGACACAAGAGTTTCTTTGGGGTTTTTTGTTTTTTTTTTTTCTTTTTGTCACACCCCACCACCCCCAAGAAATCCAGTTTACACTGCACTGGAAAGTGTTACTATGTTCTTCTCACCTCTCTCATCACCAACCTCCTTGCACCCTCAGGGTGGGAGGCCAACGAGAGAGAAACAGGGACTGGATATGTGTGTATGTGTGTGTGTAGCATCTTGGGAGACTGCTTGTGTCTACTTGATTGTGTCTACTTGTCTACCTCTGTGGCCCAGGTGAAGGTGGAGCCTTCAGTTACTCTTTGAGAGCTTCTAGGTCAGCTGAGGAAGAGGGTGCTACAGAGGCTGACAGCCAAATGACAAACCTGGAGACATTCAGACATTTGTTCAGTCTCCCAGAAAAGCTCAGACACAGAGAGATCCCTATAGTGCACAGGGCAAAGGCCAAACAGTCTGCCTGAGTAGGTAAACTACCTGGGCAGTGCAAAGGTACATGGGACATGCTAATATCCAGAGGCTAGCAGGATGGTTCCAGCTTGGGCTAAATCAAACATAAATGTATGGGCCCACCCATAGATACAGGACCCAGACAGACACACAGCTGTGGGCCTCCCACCTAACATCCTCAGGACATCTAAGATATCCTTCTTGTTGCAGCAATACACTCTGAGCTGAAACATTCTCCTCAGGAGGAAAGCTCCTGAGACCGGAGAGCCTCTGTAGGAGGGTCTCAGGAACTAAGCAACTTGTGAGTCTCAGGAATTCCCTGAAACTGACCAGATGCACAGGCCTCTTCCTCTGCAAGGCTGTATAAAGCAGTAAGGCTTCTGGAGAGTCTCCAACCTGTAAAGCTGTCTGCAAGGCATGCAGAGTTCTAAAGCTCCATTTTGTGAGTTGTCACCCATACTGGGGTAACTTTCAGTCACTTATCTGCCTTCAGTTGACTGTATTCCTGAATTAGCCTTTCACCCATACACCCATGACCCCACTAAGCCCATTGGTACAAAGTTGGATTTTGGTGGTATCAGCACTTCAGTCAGTTGTTGTTTCCTGTCAGGGGTAAGTAAGTAGGTGTCTGTTCACATCTCCCCAAGAATAATGTCACACACTTCTTCAGTTGAAGGGAGGAGAGTTCCACTGGTTTGGCATGGTGACACGTTTTCCACAACAATGTCCCTTCGCTTTCTTTGTCATCACCCAACTTTCCTTAAAGCCAACTGAATAGGCCAACCTAGCTCTCTCCCTTGGGCTCTTTGTCTGGGACTATGTGTCTTGGGAGATGGAGTTCAAGGTTAGAAGCCAGCTTTCCATGACATGCTGAAGCTCAGGGTCCTTGAGTAAAGGAGGTGGTAGGGTGCAAAAGTCTGGACTGAGAGAGCCTGCCTTGTGTTCCTTCTGCCAAAGGGTATTATGCATCTCAATCCCCATGGGCATCCTTGTCTCTGGCCACAAAGAGGCAGCTTCAAGATTAGCCATAGGTTGGGGTTCCAAGGTCACACCTGGTTTTGAGGACTCTGATTCCTTCCCCTGGGCACTTGTGGGTACCAAGTACACTCAGCTGGAGTTGTACGGCTGAGCATACCCACCACAGACAATGCTAGCTGCTGTCTGTGTAAGCCCTGTGTACCCAGCTGTGTGGTTGGGCTAAGGGAAAGGGCCAGAGCTGGAACTCAAATTGGGGCTGGGAAAGGAGGTCCATACTGAAGGCTGTGCTCCGGTCACTCCAGCTCCAGTTCCATCCTTTCAATCCTGCCCAGCTCCTCTCACTCTGGCCCTGGTCATTGCCCTGCCTGCCACTCTCCTCCTTCAAACCAACTGGCTGCCACCTCACTTCCACTCATCTCTCCCTCAGAAAGGCCCACCCTGAGGACAGCAGCTAAGGAGCGAGCTGTACCTGCCTCCAGATCTACCTTTTCACAGTAGAGAGTACACAGTAGAGAGTACACAGTAGACGCCTAATCATTTCCCACCTATCCCCCTGACTTCCAGCTCTACAAGGACAAGGATTGGACTGTTTCATCCTAGGGTTCCGGGTGTACACAGCAGGTACACACTGGATGTGCTAACTGGATACACAAAGGCATGGCCAGGTCACAGGCATGCAAACCTTCAGTGACAAGCATGTGCACAAACACACATCCAACAACATGCTGGCACATGCATTTGTGAGTGGAGGCATGCCTATTCGTAAGTCTGTCTGGCTTGCACCTCACCCCCACCAGAGCCCAGTGGGAGTGTTATCACCCATGGCCCTCCATCTAGGCAGCTGGGCTCCACTCAGCCTCCTGGTGCTAACTCGGCCTGACACCTAGCTGCACAAGGGGGCCTCCTGTGGAAGCTGTGGCAAGCCTGCCACCATGGTGGTGACTGCTAATTGGCTCTGTGTTGGGCCCTGGGTCACAGCTCGGTCAGCCGTGGCTGATACTTTCTTCCCACTTGTCTCAGGAAAGGCACTGCTGTCCCTTCTACTTAGGCCTCAGCCAGTCACTGAACCGCACATGCTTGGCCGCATGGGACAGACTAGGCAATCCACTCACCCCTACCCCCACCACACACACTCCATCTTGAGAGGCAGAAGAGAAAACTCAGCACACAGTACTGGCTTTGGATGGGCACTGGCATCACATTGGGAAGGGCCCAAGCCTGGGCACCAGTGCATAAGCTAACCCAGGGCCTGGAAAACCACTTGTAGAGGATGATTCTCCTGAGTTCTGGTGTCTCTTCAGCATTTCTCTAAAGAACACATCCCACCCAGGGAGAGGGAAGAGAGGGCAGGAGCCTGGACTATCAGAAGAGGAAATGCTTAGACTCAGTAGCCCAGTCTCTAAACCTGATGCTTTTATGTCTTCTGAGCCCTGTCTCCAGGGACTTTCAGTGGATTGACTTCAGAGTAGAAACAGCTGTGTCCCATGCCCTCCCATCTCTGAGATCTTAGAGCTCCCAGGAAAGGGAAGTGGCTTTTCCTCAGCCAGGGCTGGGATCCTCTGTGGATGCTGACTGCCTTTCTTTCCAGATGGTTTTCAGGTGTACATTACCTGGGCCACAGGAGATATCAAGGCCTGGAGACATGGTAGAGGGGTCTCCCTACTCCCACTTTTCAAACCTCAAGAGCCCAGTGTGTACCCTTGCAGAGTTTGTCAGAGCCCAATCTTTTTTGGTTTTCCTTTTTTATGGTTTTGTTTTGTGGGAGTGTCTTTATGGTTATTTTTTTTCTTTTTTTTTTAAACTTTATTTATTTATTTGTTTATTTATTTATTATAAGTACACTGTAGCTGCCTTCAGACACCCCACAAGAGGGCATCAGATCTCATTGCAGATGGTTGTGAGCCACCATGTGGTTGCTGGGATTTGAACTCATGACCTCTGGAAGAGCAGTCAGTCCTCTTAACCACTGAGCCATCTCACCAGCCCGTCTTTATGGTTATTTATATTTGTTTTTTATGGTTTTGTTTTGTGGGAGTGTCTTTACGGTTATTTATATTTGTTTTTTATGGTTTTGTTTTGTGGGAGTGTCTTTATGGTTATTTATATTTGTTTGCATTGGGGCAAGATGTCATTATGTAGTCCTGGCTGGCATGGAACTGACGGATACCTGCTTGACTTTGCATCTGCTTTGACTTTAATGTTGGGACTAAACATCTTGCTTCTTCATGGGTTTTGAAACCAGGTCTCACTATATAGCCCAGGTTAGCCTCAAACTCTTCATACTTCTGCCTTTGTCCCCAGAAGGCTGGGATTATAGGCATATACAACTATGGCCACCAGAGTCCAAACCTTTTAAGTGTCTAAATTTCTTTTCTTATTTGAGACTAGAATAAATAGCACCCAGTCTCCAATCCCACCTCCTCCAGGAAGTCTTGCCCATCTTGCAGCCCTTGCTGTTCCTGCCACATCTGCTCTCACAAGGAGCCTGCAGTCAGGGCAGACGTGGGCTATAGCACGCCTCTCCTGCCTTTCTGTCCCTAGTGTCCTAACCAGGAGTATAGATGAGTGGATCTTAACATACACAAACAAAAACAACAACAACAAATCACCTTGGACCAACTACTCAGTGATTTCCCTTTATATTCGATGGGAAAGTACACAGGAGGCAGTCCAAGCCTGGGGGTGTAGTGCAACTGGTAGAGTGCTTTTCCTTGAATGCATGGATCCCTGGGTTCCTAGCCCCACGTGAACAAGGTGTAGTGGCAGACCTTGTAATCCCAGCATTTGGGGATACATGAAGGGTAGGAGTTAAAGATCATCCATAGCTACGAGGCAGCAAGTCGGAGGTCAGTCTGGAATATACGAGACCCTGTCCTCAAAATAAAAATAAAATGCAAGGCCAGGTAACATGGCTCTGGGTCTGGAGAGCTGAAAGTCACCGTGAAGCCAGAGCAGGCTGTGGCAGGAGACAGGATCTAGAGGAAGAAGTGGAAGGGGTCTAGCCTCGTATCCCCTGTGCAGGCCCACCTTTGTCCATTTTCCTCAGGCCCTGGGTCTCCAACAATCATCTTCTTGTCCAGAATGGCTCCCCAGCAGCTGACAGTTCAGCCAAAATCAAACAGAAAGAAACAAACGGAGAGGTCCTGACGTGGGGCCTCACTGTGTGGTGGTCAGGTAGTTGAGACATTCACTGCCTTTGGTTCTGTTTTTATAACAGTGATGGAGTGATCAGCTGCCTTACACTCCAGCCTACCCCCTGAGGCATTGTACTCCTCAACTGTGAGCCAAAATAGGCCTGTTCTTCCTCATGTGTTCCAGTCTGTCCTCCAGGAATCAACCCTACCTTCCTTTATTTTCTAGCTACCAGGTAGACACCTACCGCCAGGGCTGCCCACCTCTTTGACTATGGTAATGGAAGGGCTGTGCTCCAGGCCCTCTTTCCTCTACCCCCAATAGCAGAGGGACAGCATGAGCCTAACCTGGAACTCTTCCTGTGACTCCTGTTCTCTGTTCCGCCTCCTAATTTCCTTGCTTATCTTTTGCCTTTACGTGTCCCCTTGCTTCAAGCTCCTTCCTCCCATATGTCCTGCTATGGATCCTACTGGACTTTTCTAGAGTACAGAGCTGGGACCACACTTATACTGGAAACCTTCACAGTGAGATCCCAATGAGGCCTCCAGGGCCTCATGTCCAGCTGTTTCCTTGGTTCACAGTTTTGTCTTCTATTTCCCCCTCCCACATCTTGTATTAGTCTGAAACCCATCGTGATCATGGAACTCGTTCACCTCCTCCTTTAGCATTTACCATGGCTCTTGTCATGGCACTGTCCTCCAGTCTCTTGGCATTTCCAAACCCACTGCAGTGTCCAGTAGTGAGGTCAACACTGGAAACAGAACTGTATAACAACAGATGTGACCACACCCCACAAACTAGATCAGTGTAATCTGCTAAGGAAGGACCCTGGGGCAGGAGTCCTCTGCTCCCTTGCTATGAGTGAATTTGGCATTCGAGGTATTTTCCACTGTCCCTCTTCCCACCTTCCCTCATCCTGCCTCTTCTGCAGTGAAGGCCTCCCTAGGGGTCACAGGGACAGAGGAGAGAAGCCAACTGCTGTGGCTTGCAGATCCTTTCCAGAATGTTACCAATCTTGTGAGCATCACGGGAACAGCTGTTGAGATGTTGCAAGCCGAGGTCAGAAGGGCATTAGACCTTTACAAAGGCACTTCCAAGCAAGCAAACACCTTCTGCCACAGCATCTTTACTGCCTCAGCCTTGTGACCACTCACATCCATAACAAGTTCCTAGCGTTTATGTGAGCTGAGGCTAATTGCTTTGATTTCACAGCTCAATTTTCCTCCTTGTAATATGTCTAGAATCTCTTGTAATTTCTCAGTTTTTAGTATGATAAACAAAGGTACAAAAGAAGCACTAAAGAATTGTGAGCATGGACTGGGGAAGTAGCTTTGTGGCACAACACTTGTCTAGCATACACAAAGCTCTAGGTTTAGACCCCAGTACCACCAACAAAACAAAACCACGAAAGAATTAAGTGCAATGGGGAGTGTTCTTATCAGTCTTTTAGTCAATGTACTATTTTAAGTTAATATAGCTAGTATGTGTTTCATAAAAACGGGCAACACAGCAACTTGGAACCATCTGGTCAGGATGGTCAGGAGACCTAGAACAGCTACTGTAACATAACATAAATCTAACATAAATCACAAAGA